TACCTATCATTACCAACAATATCCTAGACGTATATTGTTCTACCTCCTAGCTTCACGCGTGACCGACGATTTTTACCCGTATGCCCCGGTATGATAAGTTTCAATATCTCAATCGTAATCACTCGGGAATAGACCTTGATGATGTAGCACGAGAGGTTAGAAATTGCCTACTATAAAAGGAAACAAGATAATACGTTTCTGGCATATCGTTACGCGTTGACATTGGCAAGCAAATTGGAACGGCATTATTTTAGGGCTATTGGGACCTCATAAAGTATTTTGAGGTGGATCTTCCCAACCCCGGTATAGCGACGCCGTCCAGACGCGGGGCTTGGCTTCCATGCGCGCTCTACGGTGATGCATATTCGATTTTATAATTATTCCGATCGTTCACGGGAGGTCGGCGTAACATATTGGTGGAATTGGAGCCAAATGTGTACCTATTAGGCAAGTGCTACGCTCAAACGGACCTAGATTAAACATACTGAATTATTGTTCGAGAGCTTAGCAATAGCGTCTGAATGCTCGGGCGAATTTTGCCGTCGGGGCTGGATATTGCTGTCGCTCCTTTCGACTCCCGCGGCTCGGCCCGCGGCGCCCCCGGGTCCAGGCGTTGCTGTGCGAGCCTTCTACGCCGCGCCAGCGATCGCCCGCCACGAAAGCGCATCGCAGCCGAGCTTGCATGCGGACGTCGCCTTTATCCGGAGTCGAGTTTGTGTCCGCTCCGAGGTCCGCAACAAATGCCGAACCATCTATAGTCGCTAATAAACCATCGGCAAATTCATACGCGGTTGGCCTGAGGTCCGTGCCAGCAACAGCAGAGCAGGACTCGATAGGCTGCTGCCTGCCTCTCGCTCTTTAGCATTCTACACGAATTCACGATTCCTTTTGCTTTCTTTTTTCTGAATTAGCTCACGGCCCACCTTTGTTTCGCCACATGCTTACGAGTGACCGGCACGCCACGCTTATTAATGTATATCGTAGCACTGGGACGTCTTGTTTGTTCCAGCCGTCGCCTTTTTTCTTTTTTTTTTACGTTTTCTTTTTGTCTGACTAATGCCCTGTAGACCGCCCGTGTTTTGTGGCATATAGATCCGGCGTTGACAGGTATGTTTTTATAATTATGCTCGTCTGGTGGTGCAGAACGTTAGACACGGCTGAGTAAGTCGGTGGCGGGGGGTGGGGGTGGGACACCGAGGGAAGAGAGGAAGACGGGGAGGGGGGGGGGACGGAGAGGAAGAAGGGGAGAGAGAGGGAGAGGACGAGAGGGGACACCGAGGGAAGAGAGGAAGACGGGAGGGGGGGGACACGGAGGAAGAAGGGGAGAGAGAGGGAGAGGACGAGAGGGGGACACCGAGTGAGGAGAGGAAGACGGGAAGGGGCGAGACGGGAATACCGGGGAAGAGAGGAAGAGGGGATGTAGAGGAAGAAGGGGAGAGAGGAGAGGGCGAGAGGGGGACATCGAGGGAGGAAGACGATGAGAGAGAGAGAGAGAGAGAGAGAGAGAGAGAGAGAGAGAGAGAGAGAGAGGAGAGAGAGAGAGAGAGAGAGAGAGAGAGAGAGAGAGAGGAGAGAGGGAGGAAGGGAGAAGGGATGTAGAGGAAGGAGGGGAGACGGATAGGACGAACACCGAGGGAGGTAAGGAGAGAAGGGAAAGAGAAGAAGGGAGAGAGGAGAGGAGGAGAGGAAAGGATTTTGCGGTGAAGTGAAACACAAGATCAAGGATAGCGACTGATTGCCCTTTCCTTTTTGTCTCATTTTTTGGTCGTGGGGCCCTTAGAGTCAGAGTCACACTTACGCGGGGAAGTAAACAAGCTCGCAAGAAAGGGAAACAGACGTATCAGTAATGTCTTTCAACCCTCATCAAAGTCTTGCAAACCCTCTGCGCTTACGCTTTTCATCGGCATCCCTTCTCAATCTCCTTTTTCGAAATGGAATCTTGCATTTTTCTCTTTATATATATATATATATATATATATATATATATATATATATATATATATATATATATGACTATAATGTATGTATGTATGTAATGTATGTATGTATGTTTGTGTTGTGTGTGTGTTTGTGTGTTTATGTAATCGATAAATGATTTAAGATATAGACGATATAATGTATGCATGTATTAACCTATATAATATATAAATGTATTGTTTTGTAGTGGATTTTTGTGGGATGTATGCGTTGCGCGTATTGACTGATGCTTTTTGGTCTATGCGATTGAAATAGGAGCACCTTCTTTGTTTTGCCCCCTCACCCACGCCCTCCTCCGCCTTGCCATCCAAGTGGTATTCCGCCAGCCCAAGCCCCTTCAGCGTCGCCAGCCTTATCACTTAATCTCAGGCAAGAACTTAATGTCTTCAGGGATGCAGCATTCCTGATCTGACCTCTGACTTGCAATGGATGTCTGTTTTACCTCGGGGTTCGTCACTAAGGGTCACAATCAGGGGGGAAATGGTAAGAAAACAGTGCCAAAGGAACGGTTCGGTGGGGCATTAGATTAATACGCCCGTCATAATCAATATATATATTATATATATATATTATATATATATATATATATATATATATATAATATATATATATAATATATATATATCATACGGCGAACTCGCCTCTTGGCACCGAGTCGATCCTTTATTGACAGCAGTTTTTTGGGAGTTTAACACAACAAAATAAAAACCTTCTCTTCTCCCTCACAGGGCAACAAGCGAGACACGCCGGGCTCCTCGCCCTCCCCCCCCCCGGCCCCCCAAGGGGGGGTGGTTGCGCGGCGGGGGGCGGGGGGGGGGGGAAACAACCACCACGACAAAGTTCACGGTCGGGGCCGCAGGGATGGGGTCTATATTATGGTGGATATAAAATTCACCCACCCTGCGTGGAACCTTCTCCGCAGCTTCTTCTCTGGCACGTCAATCCCCTCCTGTCACTTCGCCTCGCACGTCGCTCCGGGGGGAGGGGTCTGGCGGACGGGGGGCGTGGCTGCGTGGCGCGCGGACGGGTGGGGAGATGGGGCGCCTTCGCCATAAAAACATATACCTACAAACAAAAATGGCCCCCCGCGCCCCCCACACCACCTCCACCGGCGCTCCGACCCTGGAGGGGGGGGGGCGAGTGGCGGCGGGGAGGGCCACTTTAATTTTTTAAAAACTCAAGGCACAGTCTCTGTGTGAATATAATGTAGTCTTTCTCCCTGCCGTCACATCTCGCATTACATATCTGGGGGGGGGGCGTGGGCGGGGGGGTTCGTTCCGTTCGTTCTTTCTTCTTCTTCTTCGGACCCCGCCCCCCGCCCCCCAAAAAAAAGTCCCGTCTCGGGGGGCCCCGGCCCCATGCCCCCCCGCCCCACCTCCTCCCCGCCACCTCATCTCCTCCCTCACCCCGCCCCCTCTCCCCATTCCCACTCCCTCTCTAACTTTTACTGGTTCCACTCCCACTACCAACACTACGCCTCCGGGGGCGCGGAGGGAGGTGTGTGGGGTTATATGGGTATGGTACTCGGGTCCCGTGTCCAATCAGATAGCGGGTAAAACAGGGATTCGGGGACCTCACTTATGGGACAGTATGTAAACACTCCTAGCCTTACGAGAGATACACCCACGACAAGAGAAGAAGAGAGGGAGAAGAGAGAGAAGAAGAGAGGGAGGGGAGGGGCCCCACTGTCGTGTGTGCTGTGTCGCGAGTCCGCGGTGTGTCGCTGCCCCGTGTTCAGCTGTGAGTGTGAGTGTCTGCCAATCGTCGTTGAGAGTGCAGATTATCGATGTTTGAGATATATGTGTAGGAGAGATCATCATATAATCTATAGATTTATTGGTAGTTTGGGCTCTGTGTGTGTGTGTGTGGTGAGAGAGAGAAGACGAGAGAGAGAGAGAGAGAGAGGAGAGAGAAGAAGAGAGAGAGAGAGAGAGAGGAGAGAGAGAGAGAGAGAGAGACGAGAGAGAGTGAAACGCGCAGCGTGGAGTGTGGAGGGGAAAGGTAATTGAACGCCAGGTATACTTACAGAGGATTTACAGTGTTTTGCAGTCCTGTTCCACGGTTCTCTACAAAAGCAATGTCCCCAAATCTTGTCGTGCTTGTGAGAACTTTTAGTCTTGCGTTGACGAGAGATAGCTAAAGTATGTGAGTCGATAATTGTGAGGGTGTGTGTGAGAGAGTACTCACACTGAGTTGGCACGCAGTCGTCTGTTATTTAAGTTATATATATCTTGTGGAAACGATGGAGTTTTTTGACCAGATAGAAACAAAGTGACTCGAGGGCAAGAGTTGTTGCGTGTAGGAGGTCTCTCGTGGTGCCCCTTCGAATGGTCTACTTCGTTTACACGCCTTATCGCCAATATAGTATAGAAACTTCGAAGCGCACGGCGACGGTGAGCAAGCCACAGTTTCGCAGACTCTTAGTGTCGTGATTAAAAGCTGTCGGTACTGCCTTTCCTCAGTAGGGCTGGCGGAGCCATAACTGTCACAATCACACAGATCGGGTCTTTTGTCTTGGTGACGGAGCGACGCTCGGGTTGAACCTCCCGCTAGGCTGTTTGTAACAGGAGGGGGATCAAAGGCCATAATTCTTAGGCTTCATAGCCACGGCGTAAAGAAACTGGCGAATAAAGCAAGGGATGTGTATTGTAAGGTACTTCGTAATGAGGGGCTAGGCTGTTCTCCCGGCGCACGTAGACGCGGAAGTAAACAAATCGAGGAATTTGTGTGCTTATCAAAGGCTGTTCCGATGTTTACCTGCTTATGGGGTAGAATGGGCCGGGGATGTAAAACTTGTGTATTCAGGATATCGGCTTCGACCGCCAGGGGTTGGAATAATGTGGATGAATGATCACGAGATACTTTCCGACTTGTGTTGACATTGGCCCCTTCTAATCGCATTCATTCTTTGTGCACGGTTTCCTTAATGCCTTTGGATTTCCCGCTGTGATCAAAGCAGCGACGGGGCGATGATTGCATGACTGAAAATTCTCCCACTGACGTGCCACTCTCTTCTCCCGCAGGTGTCCAAGCTCGTGGAGGATATCTCCCGCCTCCAAGCCGCGCTCTCCGGCGTCAAGGAAGCCACAGCTGCCCAGATGCACGCTATGGAAGAACAGCTGGAGGAGAAGAACAGACTCATCCAGCGCCTGGAACTCAAGCTTCAGGACTCCAGCCTCGACGAAGCCAAGAGAGATCTACAGTGAGTATTCCCTTTGGTCTTTGTTGCAGTGACGCGTCCCGTTTTCTGTCATGTCGCCGTCGGTTCTGGCCTGGCGTGATGCGATGCCATTGTGCACTGAATTCTAAAGTCAGAGTATTCAGTATTAACGATGAAATAATATATCGCCTCATAAATCTAGCCCTCATAAATCGAGAATAATAGATTATTACATGAATGTCAGACACAGACGTCGATTCGAGTGACTGCACAATACGCTCTGACAATGACAATCATCCTCTACGCCGCTAACTGCGAGCATGTAACGCGAGGTCGAACTCTTCTGAATTATCCTCCATATATATCAGTCACATCGAGCCGATATATCGAGCTTTGTCGAATGATAGACTACCCGAATATAACCGATATATCGACATACTTGAGCCCATCGGACCTTAGTTCTTCCCTTCTGATGTTACGTAACCGATGCAATTTTCCTTTGATGGAAGACACTTTATTGCCTCCCCCCCTTCCCCTTGTCATTATAAGCGCGTGCAACAATTACTTTCCATTACGCTATTGGTTATAGATCCACCGGAGTTAGCGAAGTCTTGAGTTAGTAGTTTGTGGAGTTACTCGAAGTCACATCTCAAATTTAGACATCCTCAGATACAGGCTTCAGAGATCTAGCAAATAGTGGCAGTTCACGGCAATATTGTGTGACTGACTCGAGATTTATATACTATGATAAATAATATATATACCTCTTTATATTGTTTTCGATTTCTTGATATCTCAGGAGGATATTAATGAGAGAGGAGTGAGATAGGAGGTTGACGACAAGGCCGTGATAAGCAAAATTACGGACGCGTAAGCCCGCTCGGTGATGAGTCTGAGCAGGCAGGTGAGATGAGAAGGACAGGTATGTAGTAAAAGTGGAGGATGAGATTGAGGCAGAGCGTTATGAGAGTATTAGATAAGAGAGCATCGCTTTGTGTATATAAGATAGGAGAGGAGAGAGAGACGATGAGTGTACAGCGTCAAGAAATAGTCGTGCAGTCCTGTGGAGAAGGATCGGAGAGCACGCACGGGTGGAGGAGGAAGTGAAGAGGGAGGAGAGCTAAGTGTGTTGATTAGACGGTCATTAGCCAGTGCGACCGCATACAGAGAGTGAGCGATAACAGCAGAGAGACCGGAGATGATGCACGTGCAGTGATACGGCATTGATGGAAATAAATGTGATCGAGAGAGCGAGCGGCAAGGACGTAGTGTAGAGCAGACATCTGTGATTAGACGGGAAGAATAGTATATGTTCTGGAGAAAGAAGACCGAACGATGGATATGTAAACGATCACAGAGAAAGCCGTAGCACAATGGAGTCCTTAGCTTTGTTTAGAGATGATAGTAGGCACGCAGAAAGTGTCTTGATCCAAACGCACCGAAGAATATATTGAAGGGATGGCGTAACGTGGAGAGAGAAGCATGGCTATAGAGATATAGAGAGAGTATGAGAAGCAGAGTGAGATGAGAGTGGATTAAATATAGGATATGTTTATGAGGACGCACGAGGAAGATGTGGCATGAAACGCAGAAGAGTGAGACAGCAAAAGAGGAGATGAGCGAGAAAGGAGAGACGAGATGATGAAGAGGAGAGAATGCGCCAAGAGAGGAGATCTCAGTGTGCCAGCACCTATCGAGATTAATATGGCGTTACATTATCAGATGCCGCGTCACATGCCTTCGGACTCCCACCCCGACCCTCAATAACGGAATCGGACACGATTACTGCCATTCTCATGGCACCACCGGCGGTGTCATCCGACAACTCTGTTCAGCTAGACAGCGTCAGCTCAGAACACTGGACGTCTTCTGTCTATATACACAATCTCGGCATCAAACCTTGACGCTTTAACAGGTGAATTGGAGATACATGGTGCAAGTCTCTCTATGGGTTTGTATGAGGTAGGATTGACTCATATTGTGCGCTTTGGAGAATGGCTACGAATTTGGCCTTCCGCTCGTCGTCTGTTTGCGCAGTAAGCATAATGGTCTCGCATATGGCTCATAGAGTCACGGTTTGTGAAGACAAGATAGTTACAAAGCGAGGGATGGATGAGAATAGAGCTTGGAATGATGCGAGGCTGGAGTCTCTGTATGCTGCATCGCTTGGATTGATTGCTGTATGGTCGTTCGTGAAATTGTCGTGGTTAGGGTATGGATCAAGGTCTGTGCGTTGTGGCCCCTCTCTAACGAATGGCACGGGACAGAGGCGGTGAGCTCTCGTTCCGGAGATGATGCGAGAGACTAGAGACGCGAGTGCCGTTACGGCAGTATTAGACAGTAAGGAGACATAGAGTCAGAGGAGGCAGCAGCACGAGAGTGAAGAGACTGGGGAGGTATAGCGTGCAGATCGAGGATAGTAGGAGGTAGGCGTCTGGAGGTTGATGAGACGAGCCTGCTAAATAACCTTCGCTACATGTGGTGGTCTTTGGTCTGATTTTCGAAGAGAATTCTCGGCTTTGTTGTCTTCTGTTTGCAAGAAAGCCTGCGTTGCTGACATGATTTCGCACTCGGTCTCTTTTAAAAAATAGTTGTTGAATCAGATCAGTTATCAAAAGCTCACACTGGACTGGGGGAGCCAGTCGCTGGCACGCACACGCCGAAAAGTCTCTGATATAAAACTTTTTTAATGGCTGTGGTATGTAAAATGTTCTCATCAACAAGTATTTATCTGATAATGTGTCTACATATCCTTATCAAAAGCGTCGGTGAATCATAGATCTGCCAGACGAGTTGCCAGGCGACAAAGAGCCGTTGGAATAAATAGTCTGACAGGTGAAGTGTGCAGGAAACAAGAACTTTCCCGGATAAATCGACTCGACGGCAGACTACTTGGGTTCTGGCGGACCGAGACAGGGAGCCGCGCCGGGTTTTGCTCGGCAGATTCGATCCTGATGTTTTGCGTTTTTATGACGACCTTTATGAGAACGATTATTTATTTTTAGTGATATTGATTATGGCGGAGATGATTGCCAACATCCATGTCTTTTTTTCTTCTTTTTTGCTTTCATATTCGTTGCTGTATCAATCATCTTTATGTTGTTTATGTCTAGTTCTTGGTCATTCGTGCATAAGGGGTCGTGCTAACTTTAGTCTTCTGTTTTATTAACTCTCCCTCTCTTTAACGCAACTCATTACTTCGTTACGATTATGGCTTATCTCTTTATTTTTCCTCTTCTCATCTTTCTTATTTCTTTCTTCTTTTTTTCTCGGTCTTTCGGAACTTAAGGCTCATTTTTTACTCTTTCATCCCCCTCGTCTCGACTTTTTGTTCCCTCCTCTTGCTCCCTTTCTTTCTCGCATTCCTCCCCGGCCCCTATGAAGACCCCCCCTCCCCACCCTCCCCCTTTCCTTCCGTCGCGAAGAGTACATCGGCACCTGCTGTATTGGTGGTGCAGTACTTGTCTAGAGCCACCTAGGGAACTCTCCTAACCCTACCTCCTCCTCCATACTTGGCTCGAGTGGGAGAGGCTGAAAGAGGGGTGGGGTTGGTAGGGGGAGGCACGCAATTGGGCAGAATAGTTGAGCACTGGCAAAGACAGACATTAGAACAGGGGGAGAGGACCTTTTGGGGACTGGAGGAAAAGAATTAGGAAGACCTCAAGAGATGTAATATTGAGAGGATGATGCCAAAGCAGTGTGTGGAAATGAGTGCCTGGCGAGTACATCTGAAAGAAAGGGAAAATTGATTATTAACTGCCATTATCCCATTCACCACTTCACCTACTTGCTTCCTTTCGTCTTGGCTCTTCATCTTATTTGTTACGAGTTGAAACTCGCACAAAATGAAGATTAAATCTCAGACACCAAAGTCCAACGAGTATATATATATCACAATAATAGAGCAGCAGGTCCTCTACACTTCGAACTACTGTCTGCACGGACGCAAAAATCCCCGGATCAAAAGAAAAATGCAAAAATAGAGATATCCTTTGAGGGCATTTATTGGCAAACGAGACCCTTACGTGTGGCCAGGGATCAGAAGCCGAGTAAGCTGGAGACGTCTGGCATAAAATAGTGTATTCCGGTACGCTAGCTATCAAAGACAGAGAGACGGTGAAGCCATCAATGCTCATTTATATGGATTGCAATATATCACTCAATATAAAATTCGAATGCCCCCTTAGAGAGAAAGGAAGAAAGAAAGAAAAAACAAGTACGCTCTTCTTTAAACAACTAAATAAGCAAGAACGATGCATCTTCTCGGGGCGGATATTTCAGAGCTTTGGGTCGAAATCCCAGAACCCCGCGGCTATATTCAGATCTCATCGTCCGCATCTGGCACGTGACGGAACTTATCAGATGTGAAGGATGATGTATAGGTGTCGCGTAAGAAAGAGAGTTTGACTGTACGGGGATATATAGGCGATCAATATAAGAAGTATAGGGGCGCCGCTCCTCCTCTATGGACCACCGCACACACCTGCTATAACTCAGCCTGCGCGTCAAACTCCTGTCTCGTTAGACCTCATTCTTAGCGGCAGGTGCCTTCTTTCAACCCCGCTAAAGTAAACACATGGCCCTGTCTCAACCTTGCGGAGTCGTCTGTCGCACGTGAGTTCTCGTCATCGGAAAATAGGACGTGTCTTCCATGGCTACTCGGGTGATGCGATTGCTCCGTTGAACTTCATAATAAAACCATCCCCTTAGAATAAAAAAGAAAGGAAAGAAAAGAAAAATGAAATTCTACAGTACACATTCCTTTCATAGATCATCTGTAATGATCAAGAACGAAATTCTGATCCTCAAGTTACCCCGCGCCCGCCACGCAGCAGATGAGATTTATGAGCCCCTACACTTATATGGCATTAGGAACCTGACAGAAGAAAATGCTGCATTGTTTTCCGGAGTATATGCTTAGAATGCAATAGTATTTGCGATTAAGTCTTCCGTTTGCCAGAGTAATGAGCTCTTTCTTTAGCTCGATACAAAGACCTCACAATCCGAACCTGGTTCAAAGAGGGTGCAAATAAACCGGGGCTCCATATAGAAAAATAAATGTC